GACTGTGTTTGGTTTTCAATGTGCTTGCTCTCTCTCACTTTGAGGTTGTATGAGGAAAGCGTGCATTAGCTCTTAAATTCCTTAATATCTCAGATGAGTAGAATGCTAGGTCTTGATCTTTTACATGAAAATTCTTGGAAAATCTCATCTGTTTTTTTGATTTAATATTTATGAGTTTCTCAATAGATTATCTTTCTGTTCCATATAGTTTGCAAGGGAGTGCAGGATCTGTAATGGTTTACTCATCGGTTTTTCCTTCTTGGGGAAATCTCTATCATCTTCATTCTACTTTTATTGCCTTCTTGCTGCTCTAAAAGGTCTTTTTGAAGTTTTAATTGGGAACACCATTGTGGTTTTCTTTCTCCCATGTAAGACTGTAATAACAGAGTGGAACTCAGCAAATGGTGGACTGTTATTTGGTTTTCAAAGCATTTTCTCTTCTCTTTTCTTTTGAGAGTGTGTGGGAGGCATGCATGAGATCGTTATTTCCTTCGCTTTTTCATTATTTTTTAATTGTTTCTCTCCCCTTAAATTACAGGCTTTACAAGAACAATATGGACTTGATGTTGCTCAGCAAGGAATGGGGATGTTGCTTGCCATGTTGTCCAAGATGTTTGATTCACTACAACAGGCATATAAAGGTAACAAGTTTTGGTTTCAAAATGTTTTCATTGAGCTTCATTGGTAGTCAGATACTGATGGCGTGGAATGACGTGACAATCTTCTCCCTCATTCAATTTTTTTAAGTGGGAAATAACAGTTGTTTTGCTTTGTGTGCAAGTACAAGAAGTTGCTCTTTAATCTAATGTTTCTACCACTTCAGTTACTTTTAATCTTTTTGTTTTACTTTCCTATATTATCTTTAGCTGTAATGACATGATTTTCTGTCCATGGAAATGGGAAATCTTTCTTACTTAAGTTTTCTTTACACTTTGTTTGAAACAAATGAATTCGACACGAAAATGTGAAATTCGTTTGCAATATATATTTTTTGTTAGAATTGTTTCTAACTACAGAATTCATTTAGAAATGAATTCCTTGTGAATTGATTTGATTAAATTTGTAAATATGGATATTTCTAAAGAAAACAATGAAAAGCCTTTCACACTACCCATTTGTGTACATCAAATTTAGTAATATAACTGCATTCCATCAAACTTCATGATTTATGTAAAAAAAAAAAATTGTGAGATGAATTCATTACTCAAAATTCAGTTAATCCAAACCTAGGCTTAAAATGCTTTACACATGCCCACTATAAGCATCTCTTTTTCAATTTGCATTACAGAGCTCTATTATTCTTATTCTTAGAAATGTTCTCTAATGTTGTATATAAATCCAGCCTTATGACTAGAACTTTGTTGCAATTTAAAGCTGCCATTTTTGATGCAAAGGCAGTAGCTAGCAGTTTGACAAATATTCTGTATGAGCTTTTATTGATTATATATTTTCTTGTACCTTTTGTTTATATTAGTCTTTTTTTTCCCATGGTAAAGGTCAAATTGTTGGAGTAATCTTGTTTAATGGGAGACCTCATCCAGAGTCAGAAAGCTCTCTCAATCTCATGTATACATCTCGGTCATCTCCACGTTGGTTGGCTGAAACTGAGGGCTTCTCTAATGCAACCCTAGATGATGAGGTGCTACTCGTGAGAAGGACCCTTGCTTGGCTAACAGGGGTTATTCTTCTCATCGCAACTCTCTTAGGGGTAAGATCTCATATTATGAAAGTTCATGCACCATTTTTATGGTGAAAGTAAAGCTGTATCGCTGGGAAGTGATGTTTAACATCTTCCAAACTCTTTTCTCGCCTTAAATTCCTGACATGCAAATTGAATATTGAAGTAATAAATTATTCACTACCACAATGGTCTGCTACCATCCGACAGACCAAGTTCATTCTCCATACGCAATAGTTAGAAAAATGAGTTTAAATGGAGATGGAAAGGGATGAAAATTCTGCTTCATTCTCTTTGTCAAGATCAGAGGATGTGGTGGCATATTGGACTTGGACTCTTATTAGAACCAAATAAAGATGATTTGAATTCTTAGTTCAGTTTGTTTGACTTTATAATAGTATGATTTTCTGTTATTATACTGGTTACAGATGCTATTAACCCAGTCAAATTTCTTACCGTATCTGTTAACTTGATCATGATTTATGCTGTTTGTCTCGTGCAGATTTATTTCCTTCTCAACATGCCTCTCACGAGGGACACTCTCTTGTATTCAAATGTCAAGCTGGAGTAAAGTGAAATAAAGCATCATCATCAAAATTCAGCATCAGAGGCGGCGGAGGATGCCTTTGGACCACATACTATTCCAGAGATGTTTTTTGAAGCTGTTTTCTATATTAACGCCCATTCTTTCTCATGCTGTGTTGTAGAACATCAAGGTTGCTTTGAGGATTCTCACTTTCGGGTATTAAGGATTTGGGCATGTAAAATCTTTGTTGGCCAACTGAGGGTGCTAATGTTATAGCAAGGTGAAAAGAGTAAAAGCTAAGATGATAATTCTGCAGCAATTATGTGTTTATTTTTAGGGTTTTGCTGTTATATGTATTTGATTTGAGACACTTCTTTTATGGAAGTATCTGAGTTGACACTTATTTCTGAATAATGGAAAAGATGATAATCTCTTTGAATTCAGTTTTACTTTTGCACAGTGTATCATCTTCAGCCCTTACTGATAATTCATCATTTAAACCCAACACAGCTAGTTCACATCCACTTGAAATACTAATTTATATATTATGTACAAAAATTTTAGTATGATGGTTGGTTATATCTCCCCCTTTAGCATCAAGGAGCAGTTTTGAGTGTGTCATAGAACTATGTCACACTTTGTGCATATAATATGAAATATATACATCTATATATAAATATCTATATCGTTTTAGTTTTTATTATCCTAGTCAGTGTGTATATATTTTGTAAACATATATGTTATTTCAGTTTTTTAAAATATTAAATATTAAATATTAAATAACAAGCAACATACAATTATGGAAAAAAACATAAACTTATATGCTTTAAAATATAGAATTTGTTTTCAAATTTCATCAAATTTAAAATTAAACTCTTATGAAATTTTTGGGAAGATGGATTTTATTACTTGGAATAATTTATTTTCAATTAGTCTGTTCCAAACACATGAAATTTAAAATATTTAATTCACTCATCATTAATTTTTAAACAATTAATAATTATCCAATAATCATTAACCATCCAATGACAGTTTGGCCGAGTGGTCTAAGGCGCCAGATTTAGGCTCTGGTCCGAAAGGGCGTGGGTTCAAATCCCACAGCTGTCATTAAAATTTTATTTTATCTGACAGAGATATTTTCCTTAAGAAAAATAGTTTATACATATTCTTTTCATTTTATTTATTTGGTAAAATTTAAATGCTATAGAGTTCATTAAGTCTTATAAATACTTTTAAGCAGAATGAATTATATTTCTTTTGATTTATTTCCTATTTGCTTTCACATACACCTCTAGCTTTTCTTCAAGAATTTTTATTTTTATCGTACTTATTTTTTATACAGGTAAATAACTATTAATTTTATGAATAAACACTTAAAATAAATATAGTTTTTTTAAATAAATTCTAAAATATATTTTGTTTTTAAAATTTTAATTAGAAATCCACACTTCAAAAAATCTTCACTGCCTTACCTTTTTGTTTTTTTTTTCTTTTATTTATTTTTCTTCTATAAATGATATTTTTAAACCCGGAATTTATCCTTCGTTCGTTTATCTTCCCGCCGCCTAGGTGCTAAACGTGTGGTTCACACTCTGGACGGAACTGCCTCATAAATATCCTCCCGCTCCTCTCTTCTTCTACTTCTTCTTCTTCTCCTCTATAATCTCTGGCTCTCTCATGTCATCCTCTCTCCCTCTCTCTTTCCCCTTTGCTTTCCGCCATCACCATCACAAGTCACACTCCTTTCTCTTCAATTCCTCCCCGCTCTCTCTCTCTCTTTCCAGCTCTCTCCGCTGCTTCTCCTCCTCAAATCCCTCCGATTTAGAACGCGAAGAAATCCGCTGGCTCCGCGAGGAACAGAGATGGCTCCGAGAAGAGCAACGATGGCTCCGCGAGGAACAGCGGTGGATCCGCGAGCGCGAGTCTCTCCTCCGCCAAATAGCTGATCTAAGGCTCCAAATTCAAGCCCTAGACAGTCAGAATCCCACTCCAGGAGCTTCGGTATCTGAGATGATTGCGAATATTGGGACTCTGTTGCAGGTTTTGAAGGATAAGAATCGGATTGCGGAGAGCGGATTGAGTGCGAATCCAATGGTGTTGGAAGGAAGGAAGAGAGACGAAATGGACGTGGAACAAGAAGAGAAGCGCGTGGTCGTGGAGGAGATTCGGATATTGGAGAGAGAGGGGAAAGTGGAGGAAGAGAAGAAGAGCGTAAAGAAGGAAAAACGAATCTTGAGAACGGGCAGCGAAGGAGAGGAGGTGCGAGAGATGCAGGTCTGCTTGCAATAATGCATTTAAGGCGAGTTTAGTGTTTTTTGTGCTATGTGTCCATATTTCTAAGTTTTCTCTTTCTTTTGTCTGTGTTTTACGTATTACTTCTGATCCATTTTTTCTGTTTGGAGTTCCGTTTTTTAATATGCCTTAGCATGCAAATCAAGCTAAAGTATTTATTGTTCAGAAATTGCTAAAAACTTATATAGCAGTACAGAATTTAATGAACAAACACGAGATGACCTATGCATTTACAGTTCGTAGGAGTAAAATTGTGCTACTCGGTTTATAACAATTAAGTATTTCTTTGAAGTTACGTGTTCTTTGTTAGTACCACTTTATTTCATCTCTTAGAGAGGAGTGAGATTTACATTTTAGTCGGCCCTATATGTAAAGTATGGCAGCTGCTGTAGCTATAATAAAATTTATTAGAAAGAATATATATCTCCTGTCAAATTATTTTACTGATTCCGTTTATGATATACTTCCGAGGTTGGGCAAGTGTTTAGAAGAAACTCTTAACTTTTCTCTTGCTTGGACTGTTGACACTTGACAATGTACTAGGTTTGTGTAATAATGCAGGCAGTTAGGTGGAAAAGCTAATCTACAGGGTATCCCAGTTAGTTTTTTTTTTTTTTAAATTATGTTTTACCCTAATTTTAGTTACCATTTGACCCAAAAGAATGTAAAACATTTCTATATCCTATTCTAATGGTGCTCATTCTATTCTATGCCATTCCATTGCCTACCCTTTCTTCCCCTCTCTAGACAAAGCTTAAATCCGAGAACACTACGTTAAGAAGTTTTTGTATGGATGTAGATGACAGTAAACAATCCTCCAAAAAGGTTCAGAATATCTTTTTCTTTTTTGATAGTGGTAGTATGCATGGTAATGGGGGGCTACAGAAATCTGTACCTGCATTTAGTTGGTCTGCTGTAGTAATGAAATTTTAACTACCTTATAGCGTCCCTGTGGTTATTTTTCCTGTTCTTTTTGCTTGCTTTTGTGCTGTAAATTTTATGTCAGCATCTTATACTTTGATCTATTCTGTTATTTGTGACAGGAAGCACTGCTTAAATTGGGATTTTACTCAGGTGAGGAGGATATGGAATTCTCCAGCTTCTCTAGCGGGACTGAGCGTGCTGTAAAGACTTGGCAAGTAAGCTTTAGATATTATTGAGTTTCTTTTAGATGAATATTCCTAGACATGATTGAATTGACGATGCAGATTGATTGTTGGTCTGAATAGAATTCACAATTCTATGATCTCAATTGACAGGCAGCCATTGGTGTCCCTCAAGACGGGATGATGACGGCAGAACTCCTTGAAACATTGTTTGTGGAACAACTGATTGATAGAGGTGTCTCAAATATAAATGCTAATCAGGAGAGTTCATCTCCAATAAAGCAAGAGGTATATTCATATCGTATTTTTTTAAATATAAAATGCATGTTAACCCTGAGCATACTTGACAGAAGAAAAAGGCCGAAGCCTTAGAACAGGCTGTAGTAGATTAGTAGATATGAAATGCACACTTAAATCTATTCGTTAGCGAAGTAATCCTCCGATCGTCCACATTCCAACAATTTGTAAAGCTGCAGCAAAAGAGAGAAGGCAGGAGCTTCCTTGCTCTATAGCTTTATAAAAGCACCAAAATAGGTTCTTTGACAAGAGCATCAAAAGGATTGGATAAGAAGGTAGGGAAGCTGGGATCATGATTCTCTAGTTAATTCCCGGAAGAAAAATCTTTCTCCTTTCTTTCTCGTATCTGGCCTTAACAGCCTTGCTTACTCACTCTCTTTTCAGTTTGAAAGGAGCTAATTAAAATCTCGATCTCTTCCAGAGAAAGCAAAACCAACGAGCCCTCGGTTAAGCGAAAGATGTATGGCTTTGATTTTGAGGATTACTAGAATCATCAGTTCTTTCAAATCCTTTGGACAGAAAGGAACTACACACCACACTATTCTTTTTTCTCTGTAGTTTGAAGTCTTTGATGCCCTGAACAGAAAGCACCGTTTTAGCATCAATTGCTCGTACGAGCTTAAATCATTCCTGCCTTTACTCTCTTTAAGTGAGAACTGGTGGATTTGGTAAGTCTCTTGAGCAGATTAGCACCATCAATTAGTAGCAGCATCTTCACCGCTCAATCTTGGAGCTTGGCTCCCTGTGTTTGAGTCTTTCATTCCTATTCCCTCTCAAACTCATCAAAACACCAACAAGGGCATCCCCTTCACTTATCAAACGAAAGTCGAGCCGAATCTCATCTCATAGGACTATAATCTTTGTTGCAATATATTCTGTTGTCTTACAGTTGAAAGATGGACGAAGTTTGTAACCATTTCCTGGCCATGAGAGGATGGAAAAGACACAAAAGCAACCTTCTCCGATTGAAACGACAATCTTGCAAATTGGCAGAGCTTTGCGTCTGACTTGAGAGATTAGTGATTAGTAGATAGGAGAGAGGAAACGGGGGAGAGAGAATTAGAGATTGGACATGTCGCGAATGGACATTTTAGACGTTTCATTGGTGTTTTTCTTTTTCATATTTAATATATATGCACTGAAGGTAAGGTACCTTAATTTAAAATTGGGCTAATATAATATTTTTATGAGATTCTTTTGAAAAAGAAGAAAAATAAATTATATTTTATATATTCAAAAATACAAGTTAAAATTTATAGAATAACTTAAATTGACATAATAATTATTTTAAAATTTACACTTATAGTTACTGCATTTATATTAGCATCCTTATAATTAGGTTTCAAATGATTTTGTTGTTCAAAACCGTATGCACACCTCCTGTGTGCATGCATGGCAAACCGGAGGAAGTACAATTTTGATTATTGCAAATAAACTACTAAAAGAGTGTTGTATTTTGTTTTCAAGGAGAACGCAAATGGAAGCGCAGTTGCTTCTGTAACTCAAATCTCAGAGATACAGCAGACAGTTGTGAAGGAAGATGGTGCTACAGAAATCGAGGTGTCTGAACAACGTGTTTTTCTTCTTGGAGAGAATCGATGGGAAGAACCCTCTAGACTTAAGGGCAAAAATAAACAAGTTGGAAGCAAGTCCACAGGCACCACAACAAAGTGTCTCACCTGTCGAGGGGAGGGCCGGTTGATGTGTACAGGTACATATGATCCATTTCCTTCTTACTGCACATAATGGACATTACTAGGATTTGACAATCTTGAACTCGAAAATCTGGTAGAGCTTGAATGATTCCATAAAGCGCATTCAGGCTGTTGCTTATGCGCCTTAAAAACTGCTTAACCCCCCCCACCATAAGCTTCCGTAAAGATTGGAGGAGGTAATTTTTAATACATGAAATATCACCCGCTCTACCAGTTGAATGGGATGTTTTGGAAGAGAAGAGAACCGATGTTATAGACTTTCAGAAATGTAGGTGAAAACTGTCAATTAAAAAGTTGTAGGCTAACCTATGTCATAATTTTCAATACATCATGTTAGCAAATTTGAAACGGACGTGATGTGGATAAGTCACGTCATTTGCTGTCAGTGAGTGCAGACCTCGTTAAAGAAAAATTAATAAAAATGAGAAATTTTGTCCCATTTTGCCTAGTCCATAAAAAACCTTGAATAAAAAGTATTTAACAGAAAATTTTGGACATTTTTGTATAATTCAAGAAAGATTTTGATATTTTGGCCTTTTAATAGTCATTCACTGTTTCGCATTGTTTATTAATAATTACTCATTTATTAATAAAATTTCTTTTGGCTGCTCCTATACAAATAGACAGTGGTATGTCTTGTTTTCTCACGCATTATTCTACCTAGTTTCCGACACCACCTTAACGTTGTAAAAATGATGAAACTGGACAGGATAATATAATGTAACTCTATGGTTGTGACAAAAATACAGGATAGTACGAAGTGTTTCAAAATGTTGAACAAGGTTTTCAGAAACATAAATACTATTTTCTCAAACACTTCCCTTCATCAAATTCAAGTAATTGAGAATTTATTTTTCAATTAAATGGCACAAGGACAATTTTTTAAAACCAGCTCCTGAGAGATTGAAACTAACAACAATATTTGACAGTAAATAATTTTTGTTATTATGCTTATTTTTTATTTTTATTCTAAGAATTTTTATATCTATAAAAAAACTATTGCTTAATCACTACTAAGTAATTTACAAGTTAATTAATAATGATTAAATTTTATAAATTAAATTTAAGTAGCTTCAAAATACGAAATAAAATATTAAATTATACTGAGTGTTTCAAATATTATGTATTATATTATTTTATCTGAATTCATATCACATAATATTATTATGTTAAATCCATCACAAAAGCGCATGATTTTTCTTTATTTATTCCCATCTATACACCGAACGCCATACAAGTTTTACAATTCTTAAGCATAGAAAAGGACCAAGCAGGTAATACGTTTAGAAGTTTGGAGTGTCATTAAAATTTAGCTTCATGCTACATTGAACATCATGAGTGTACGCTCAATAGGAAAGAGGTGTAGTTTGAAGGTTTATGATGATATATGGTCCATCCAAACCATTCTGAAAATGCTCTTCTTTTTCCTGCAGAATGTGATGGGACTGGCGAGCCAAACATTGAACCGCAGGTAAGAGAATTGTTCACATTAATTGATATGTTTAACTTTTTTATTACTGCTGTAGAAAACACAGATCATGTGAGCAAGATGTGTTAATGCAGTTTCTGGAGTGGGTAGATGAAGGAGCAAAATGTCCCTATTGTGAAGGCCTGGGTTACACTGTTTGCGATGTATGTGAAGGGAAAACGCTTGTCTAGTCAAATGTTCTGTATGCATCATGTAACATCATATTTTATGCAGTAACAACACCAAATTGTGAATCTATACTGTGCAGTGCTATAGAGAATCATAAAAGGTTGGGTCTACAAACTGTTATTGTAGGTCCAGATCCTTATCCAAGAGAGAAGGAACCACCTAATTCTCTCTTTCAAACTCATATTCATAAGACACGTGCCACCAAGTTATATGAAATTATTAGTGGGTAATAGGAGGATTATTTTTTAGTACGAGTTATTTGTTGTTCGATAAAAATAATTAATAAAAATTTGAGTCATTTTAAAATGCAAAAGTTGTGTATTTAGTTAAAATAATTTTTTAAATTTCAAGTTTAAATCTTAGAATTATTTTCTAAAAACCATAATTTATAATTTGTGTTTCAACATGTTAAAACTAAATTTTAACTTTAACATTCCCTGAGAAATTTTATTCATTTAGTTACAAAAATACTTATAAAATGCAAAAATTAAAATTAAATTGGGAGCCTTAATCCATATCACATGCAAGTTTTTTCTAACAGTTCAAGTTACATCCTTGGCCTTTTTAAACAATAATGATTCAAACATAAAGAACGAAATTTGGAGATTATGTCATTTACTTGTCAGACACTATTTTGGCTATTTCTGCATGAAGTTTGATTTCTCTTCTTTCTCTTCTTTTTCCCCGATTTACCCACCATGAAGTCCATCTGACTATGGAGCCAGGTTCAATATCTCTTTTTTTATACTCAAAAAAAAAAAAAAAAAAAAACCAGCAGCTAGCTCCACCTACGAAACTTATAAGCAAAAATGGGTATAAATGTATGATTTGATGCATATGCAGGATTACAGACATTAAAATGCTGCTAAACACTAAAGGACAACTTGTTTGCAATAAATCAAGAACCCTAGAAATGCAGATGAAGTATAGTACTCATCAGCAACAAATTATTTTCTTCCCCCGCCTCTCGCACTACCAATCTAAAACTAGTGACATTCTGAGATGGCTAAGAAGCTTTTATTTTGGACTACGATCAAAACAACACACTTTGCATTAATCATCTATGATGTCCTATGTATGGTAATGATGTGACACATGCCTATGACTATAAAAATGTCATTACCGTCACAGGTTTGTCTTTGGTTTACCAGCAGCAACACGCCTCGTCTCAGTTCTCATTGTCACAAATTCTTCAGCAGCAGAAGGGTGTATTCCAACCTGCAGGTTATGTTCTTCTGGTTATTTCAAGGATGGTAAACTGGGACGATATGTAGAATTAGAAACCAGATAAAAAAAAAGGAGCAGAGTGGGGGGAGGGAAACAGAAAAGAAAGTGAAAAAATGATGACTAAAATGAGTTAGACAAATATGACCATTGAGTCATAATAAGATATATCCTAAACATTTTCCAGGCTCTATGTTCTGGTTAATATTTTGACAGCAGACCAAATGTTTATCAATATATGTATTTAGCGCCATGTAATATATACACAAAAGTTAAATATGATTGTAGCAATCATAGAGCAACCATGAGTGCTTATTACATGTTTATCATACACGTTTCGGATAGATTATCCTTGTGTATTACTACTACACGAACTAGTTGGAATAGATTTACTTGTCTCGCTCTCTATGGAGGCATATGGCTTTTTATGGAGTTTGCCTTTGTCTATTATGCAAAGGAAATGGGAAGCCATCTTATATTAATTTGGCCCCTTTTTCCCTTTTTTATTTTCGTTTCTTTTTGTTTGCCATTAATCTTCTATTTTTATTCTCTTCCCTTCTTAATAAAACCCCTTTTCTGTCTCTAGCTACTAGACACAAAAAAAAAAACTCGATAACTTTGCCACATTTTGTTTTCCACATTTTATCTACTATGTTGTATGCTTGAATTTAATTATGCTTTTATGGTACTAAATTCAAATGAATGTCCCTTGTTAACAGCCAAAATAGACACGTTTTACACATCATTTACCTCTCCATGCTGGTTTTTGCAAGTAAGATCTAAGTTCCGCCAATTGTGTGATTCATTGTGCTTACACAATAAAAGATGCTAATTACTAAGCAAATAGACTTTTTCCCCTTGTCGCTTCTTATCTTAACCATCGTTGAGTATGAGTTCAGAAGACAAAATAAGATAAAATAGGCAACAAAACCATAGCATGCTAAATTAGTTTCTCTTACTAACAAATCACTGAGGGTCATTTTGTTAATGTAACTTGACTCCAAAGAGTTGTTGAAATTTACCGTGCTGTCAAATTGTTCCTTGGTTGCCCCACATTTCAGTGCAATGGCAATACCCTAGGAAAGACATTTCAAATCAATAATGAAAACTGAATACCGAGAAACGAATACACCAACAACACACAGTTAACAACCACTGTCCCTCCCAAGAAAAATAATAAGACAAGACAAGTTACGTGCCAAGAATTGGCAAGTATTATGGCAATAGAGAATACTGGAAATTTCCTACAAATTTCAAGGAATTACTTATACTGTGCCACAATGGAGAGATGAGAACACAAAATGCATCTTTCTTCACAATTTAAGGAAATAATTTGCCATTATATATTCCAGTTGAAAGCTTAATTATTAATTAGCATCATCTTACATTCTGGAATTCAGATTTTTCATTCATTTGGTTCTATGATAAAAGTTTTAAATTCTCCAGCAACTCAAGTCATCAATCCCAAAAATTTTATCCATACACAGAACTACCAAGAGGAACCCCATCTAAGAAATTTAACCAAGCAGATCACAAGGTCATTCACAGTCAAATAACAATTCAAAGAAGAAGCTTCATCCAGAAAAATCCAAATACAAATTTACCTGCATGATCTCAGCTGCATCGGGCCCACACATGGATGCTCCAAGAACTTTATCCGTCCCAGCATCAACAATTAGCTTCATCAAAGTCTTTTCTTGCCGTCTAGAAGCAAACAATAAGCAAAATAAATCTTAAAGTAGATTACACCACAAAAACATCAATGCAATCAGTTACAGATAAAAAGGGTTTACCTTAATTGGGAGAAGAACTAAAAAAACTTAAAATTTTTCAATTCTAATATCAATTACATCTTCTGGTAATATCGAGAAGTGATCACTATGATCAAGTACCACACCTGTCATTTTTCTAGTCACAGTTTCATTAAAATGTTTAACTTGACTGTTCTATCTTAACTTTTTAATAAAGATATTACTTTAATTTGACATCTAGAAGATGTTAGCACACACCTACACATGCAAGCAAGTGAAATTACTTTAGTTTGACATGTAGAAAATGTTAGCACGTACCCATACATGAAAGCAAGTTGTATTTGCACTTACTGAGAAAAACTGGTAACTCTTATCTTCTGTCTAGAAGTTCAATAAACCTCACAAAACCCTCCTTTTTCCAAAAAAATTCAGCAAAACCAATTAAGCTAATCCACTGCATGTCATATCTTGATCTACCCAAAAAAACAGGGCACAAGAGCTAGAAGTGAAAGGAATCTTTTAGGAAACAAGCTAAGAAAAAAATCAGAACTTTTCTTATCACGCATCAACATTCTTCAAAATGTCAGTTACAGTTGAGAAAGTATAGATTTACTTCAAATAATAAATTTTATAATACCCGGATACTGTGTTCTTCATAGGATTGAAAGTCGAGGTGAAGACCAATATGTCACCCTTGGCTTGCTCAATTGCTTGCTCTTCACTGAGCCCCACAACAGAAAGGGGAGGTATGCTGCGAAGTAATGGATAACAAATTTTTTTTGCTGAATTAGTGCATAACTCAAACACCATTGTAGGCATAGAAAATCATTATCTGGAATTGCATCTCCAAGTTGATACCAACCATGCCAATGTGAAAGCTCTATACTGACCACTGAACGTGAAAGCTTGATAGCTAAGAAACCTAATTAAGTAATTTCGTTTTTTTTAATTTTTTTATCCTAACTACAGAAACAACAGATAAGGAAACACATAATTACATCCAGACCAAGAGGAAAAGGACTAGGAGTCCTGAATTTGATTTTTTTAATTTGATTATTAGTGTCTACTACTATGATACACAGATTAACCAAGAGGAAAGGGACTAGGAGTCCTGAATTTTCTCAACTAGTGCATCCATAGCAGGCAAGTAAAAGAAATTAGTATTTAAAACAACTGCTTACTTGTATGCTATGGTAGGCAGTGTGGCAGATGGTGATGATACTGTTAATATTCTTTATATTTCCTCTCCTAATAATTTTTATAAATGGGTTGCATCCACTTGGTGCCCTTTTAATATATTTTCTGTTTTACTATAACAAAAATTTCATAATATTATAATTTTTATTCTAATGAAGTCTAAATATTTTAATTGCCAATTTTTTCACACGTAAAAAGTAGAAAATATACTATAAAGACACAATTATCAAGTTGTCAATTCCCTTTTTCTTTTCAAAAGAAAAAGAAAAGGTTGTGAATGTGAAAAATCATGTAAATAATGAACAAATATCTTATGGTCCACTTACCAGCTCATTGAACTGCAGTTATTGTCATATAATAAAAATGTACAGTTATTATCTTCCAAAAACTACAGATTATTTAACTCGGGTGAAATCACAGCTCCCAACTCACTAGATGATTCCGATTTTTTTTCCCCAACCCCTGCCCAGAGAAATC